TGGGTTTTGCGTGTCTAGCTCAACTTTCTAGAGGCAAAAAGATACAGGATTATATATGCAGTTGGATCTTACATTTGTAAAATATATTTGGAGAAAGAAGCTATAGAAAGCTCTGGGTGGGCAGTGATCTCAGTGGAAATTCAGTCCCAGCCCCTCCCCTACTCTAAGCCAATATGTTCCTCTGGAAAAAAATATATCTGTGTATATTTGCGTGCATACATGGATATACAGCTGTGTCACCTTTTCCCCAAAAGAAAATGTATGAATTACATATATCAAATTTGTTTATGTATTCACATATACATAGGAATGTGAGCACATACACGTGTATTTTCCAGATGAATGTGTAAAACTGGGGTTAGTGGGCAGGCGTGGTATGTGTGCCCATGTTCCTACTACTCAGTAGGCCCCTGTGAGTCATGATTGTGCCACTACACTCCAGCCTGGGCAACAGAGCTAGAACCATTCTGTTAAAAAAAAAAAAAAAAAAACACTACACTCCAGCCTGGGCAACAGAGCTAGAACCATTCTGTTAAAAAAAAAAAAAAAAAAACAACCGGGCGCGGTGGCTCACGCGTGTAATCCCAGCACTTTGGGAGGCGGAGGCAAGAGGCATGGCCGGATCACTTGAGGTCAGGAGTTTGAGACCAGCCTGGCCAACGTGGTGAAACCCTGTTACTAAGAATACAAAAATTAGCCTAGCATGGCGGCAGGCACCTGTAATCCCAGCTACTTGGGAAGCTGGGGCAGGAGAATTGCTTGAACCCGAGGTTGAGGTTGCAGTGAGCCCAGATCATGACATTGCATTCCAGCCTGGGTGACACAGCAAGACTCCATCTAAAAAACAAAAAGAAGTTGGGGGGCGGGGTGGGGTTCTGTGTGCAGTGGCTGACGCACTTCGGGAGGTTGAGGACAGAGGATCACTTGAGCCCAGGAATTTGAGACCAGCCTGGGCAACATAGTGAGACCCCATCTCTACAAAAAATTAGCAGGGCATGGTACACCCCCATAGTCACAGCTACTTGGGAGGCTGAAGCAGGAGGATCACTTGAGCTCAGGAGTTGGAGGCTGCAGTGAGCTATGATGGCGCCACTGCACGCCAGCCTGGACGACACAACAAGACTCCATCTCTTAAAAAGAAATCAGGGTTAAAGAGCGTATAGCGCTGTTTATTCTCCCTGCAAAAACAGTTTCTGGTTTTCCGGCTGGGGCTGGCAGGTCTTGCAACTTGCTGATCTGCAGATAAATGGGTTTTGCGTGTCTAGCTCAACTTTCTAGAGGAAGCCTTGTCTGAGGGCTGCTGATTCATATGTCCTTAGCTTCACCTGCCTTGCTGCATTATTTGTGCATCTCACTTCTGTGGTTTCTGGTTCATTTCTAGCCTCTCCCCATAACCGCCCCTTTGCTTTGATCTGTTCTGTGAGGCTTCCCCTCCCCAGCCCGCTCTCCATCCACCCTGGCAGGTCTCACAGTCTCCGGACGGAGACCTAAGCGTAGCCCAGAACCAAGCGTGCCACCGGTGACGGCTCTCAGGCGTGTGCCTGATGAGTGCAGGGCTGCCCAGCTGCCGTTCCGGTCAGAGCCTCTGCTTTGCAGGGCAGCTTTGTCACGGTTCTGCCAGCCCCATGCCCCCCATCGTCTCCTCCCTGCCTGGTCCGTCCTGGGCGTTGAAATCGGCTGTTGCTTCTCCGCCTCTCCCTGTTTCCAGCTGGTGGGGTGTGGCACAAACGCCTGCCCTGACTGTTTCATCTGGATCTCGGGACCCTCATGTGTGTCCTGGGGATGTCTGGGTGCTGCTGGGGCTGCCTACCCCCACCTCCCCAAACATATGCTTGCTGGGCACACAGGGACCTGCCAGGAAAGCTCGTAATTGGGATGAGGAGCTGCCATGATGGGGGTTCCTGGGTGTTGGGGGGTCCCTAGGTGATGGGGGCTCTGGGTGAGGAGGAACCCCAGGCGATGGGGGCCCAGGTGATGGTGCACACCTTGTGATCATGCTGGGGAGAGGAGCATTTGGTTTCCACCCGGAGGAGCCCTTCTAGCTCAGCAGGGAGGGGAGAAGGTCTCTCTTCCCTCCAAGGGCTCCAGACAGAGCTGGCTGGTGAGAGGGAACGGAAGAATGGCCTTGGGGGCCCCTGCCCTTCCGTGGGGGCCCATGGACACATGTCCCTGCCCCTGCCGAGCGGGAGGTACTTCCCAATACCTAGTTCTGGATGAGGGAAGCTTCTGGAAGGGATGCGGCCGTCCCCTGGGTGGCCCATGGACCCAATCTGCCAGAGAAGATGAAGTGGTTGAAAGTGTCCTTCCAACCTGGCGGGGTGGCAGTGCTGTGTCCTGGAGGGGCTGGGGCTCCCTCTGATGCCCTCGTCCTCTGTGGAGCTTCTCCCCAGGCCTGGGCGGGAGCAACCCATCCCCTGCCTAGGACATCAGGCCATGTGTGCTCCGCAGTGAGGGGACACCTGTTCCTGTCACCCACAGGGTGCTGTGGGCCCAGAAGCGCCCATGCTAGAGGGCATCCAGAACCAGGCAAATCTGGGCCTTGCGGGCCCTTGGACCAGTGTCTGTCTGCGGGGAGCCCCCAGTAGCCACTCAGATCAGCCCGAGGGAAGATTCTGGACGAGATCGTGGCTGTCCCCGGGGTGGCCCATGGACACCAGCAGGGGCTCCCAGGAGTGGCCAGGCCCTGCCCGCCCACCATGCTGCAGTGTAGACACGCACAGGAGTTCAGCTTCGGGCCCCGGGCCCTGAAGGATGCCCTGGTCTCCACTGACGCGGCCCTGCAGCAGCTGTACGTCACCACCTTCTCCCCTGCCGAGCGGCTCTTCCTGGCCGAGGCCTACAACCCGCAGAGGACACTCTTCTGCACCCTGCTCATCCGCACGGCCTTCGACTGGCTCCTGAGCCGCCCCGAGGCCCCTGAGGACTTCCAGACCTTCCACGCCTCCCTGCAGCACCGGAAGCCCCGGCTGGCTCGGAAGCACATCTACCTACAGCCGATAGGTATGGGGCACCACCGCCAACGGCACGCTCCTGGGGGACCAGCTTATATGTAGCACAAGGGGGGATGTCTGTGCGTAGCCCCCAGGCAGGACTGAAACGAGGGAAGAGAGTCCTGGGTGTTTGGGATGCCAGGGTGGAGGCAGGGAGGTCCTGGCTGGGCCAAGGCTTCCTTCCTCCCACCCCATCCTGACACTACGCTCAGACAGCCCAGGCTCTGGGACTGATCCTCATCCAGATGTGCGTGGTCCTGGCTATGCCTGTTGAAACTAGAGCCATCCCAGGCACTGTGCTGCGGGCTGTATAAAGATCCCGCTGGGCCTGGTGGTGCACACCTGTAATCCCAGCTACTTGGGAGGCTGAGGCAGGAGAATCGCTCGAACCTGGGAGATAGAGGTTGTGGTGAGCTGAGATCATGCCACTACACTCCAGTCTGGGTGACGGAGCGAGACTCTCTCAAAAAAAAAAAGACCATTTCTTCTTTGGGGTGCCGAAATGAGGATCAGCCCATTTCACAGGCAAGGAAATGGAAGCAGGGAGAGGTCCCTTGACCTGTCTGAGTTGCAGAGCTGGTCACTGGTAGGGACGGGACTGGAATGCAGGTCTATTTGACCCTGGCGTGGGGGTGCTCATCCTGATGCTGTAGTGGGAGGGGGTGGGCTGAGCAGGGTGGGGGTCTTCAGGGCCCAGAGTGGTCACTGCCCTCAGAGCTCTGTGTCTGGCACAGTCTGGGGGACCCAGGGTGAATGGGGGACCGAGACACCAGGCATCTGCGCTCAGAAGAGAACGGCCCAGGCAGGTGCGGGGAGCGCAAGGAGCAGGGCCAGCCTCTGTGCCTCTCACATGCCAAGAGCAGCCTGGCAGAGACGGCACACGGGACAGGGGCTCTCGGGCTTGGAGAGGAGGAAAGGGCCGGTGTCCCCTTCTCACGCCAGCGCACCACGCCTTTCGGCATCTCGACAGCAAGCCAGAGCAGGGCTGGACCTTGGCTGGACTCACCCTACGCAGGCTTGTCGCCAGCCCTGGTGGTCCATGCATCCACCACCCCATAGGAGCCAATCCAACAGCTTGGGAACCACCCGCTTCCCTCCACCTCCCTGCTAATGGCTCAAAGCCTCACGTCCCAGGCTCTGACGCACAGATACATGGGCATGTTGTTGAGACACAGGGGCTGGGTCAGGAGGCGGGGGCTAGGCCGGGCTCTGCATTTCCCTCCTTTTCTGGGTGAGGCTGATGCTACTGGCCTGGGGTCCTGGCAGCCGATTTCTCATTGGTCTCCTGGCCTCCAACCTTGGTCCTTGTCCATCTGTCTTCCTGACCTGTGATCTGGTGTGTGCATCCCTCCAGGGGCTGCCCTGGGAGCCCCCTGCTGCCTCCCCAGCCTTGACCTGCACCCTTGTGTCCTGCTCTCTGCCCCAGCCAGGCTAGCATTTTGCAGCCAGGCAGCCCAGCTCTGTGTGCTGCCTGCTCAGCTGCAGTGCCTGGTGCTAACCCTTGAAGTCCCTGTCCCTGGTGAGGCCCTGCCTGCTCCCACCCTGAGCTCACATGCAATTGTCACTGCTGTCCTTTCATCTGTGCACGAATCTTTCCTCTATGTCCCTCGGTGTTTGCCCTTTTGAAAAAGTCATGCTTTCCATCTTCTTTCTAAGCCCGATGCTCTGCTTGCTGTCAGGGTAGGTCCACATTGGCCTTGTTCACCCAGCTGGCCAGTGTCCACAGGCGATTCCCGGGGAGAGGGTCCCAGGCGGGCAGGGGTGCCGCAGGGCTGATGGCGCTGCTCTCCCACCAGATCTGAGCGAGGAGCCAGTGGGAAGCTCCCTGCTGCGCCAGCTGTGCAGCTGCACCGAGGCCTTCTTCCTGGGCCTGCGTGTCAAGTGCCTGCCCTCAGTGGCGGCCGCGTCCATCCGCTGCTCCTCGCGCCCCAGCCGGGACTCTGACAGGCTCCAGCTCCACACAGGTGAGTGAGGACGGCAGCCATGGCTCATGCCAAGGCAGCCCCTTTCCAGAAGGAAGAGGTGGGAGGAAGGCGCCCAGGAGAGGAAAGGAATCTTTTCTTCCTTTTTGGTGGGAAATGTCCATTTCCTAGGTGTGTGGGAAGCAGCACTGAAACAGGGAGTTCCTTCTTCCACCCAGGAGTGTCCGGGGACCTGGCCATACAGCCAGTGCCCACGGGAAAATGCCAGAGCTCGCAGAGCAGGAGAAGCGAGCTCTTCTTTTTCTTTTTTTGAGACTGAGTCTGGCTCTGTCGCCCAGGCTGGAGTGCGGTGGCCGGATCTCAGCTCACTGCAAGCTCCGCCTCCCGGGTTTACGCCATTCTCCTGCCTCAGCCTCCCGAGTAGCTGGGACTAGAGGCGCCCGCCACTTCGCCCGGCTTGTTTTTTGTATTTTTTAGTAGAGACGGGGTTTCACCGTGTTAGCCAGGATGGTCTCGATCTCCTGACCTCGTGATCCGCCCGTCTCGGCCTCCCAAAGTGCTGGGATTACAGGCTTTTTTTTTTTTTTTGAGATGGAGTCTTGCTCTATCGCCCAGACTGGAGTGCAGTGGCGCGAATCTCGGCTCACTGCAACCTCCTGGGTTCAAGCGATTCTCCTGCCTTAGCCTTTTGAGTAGCTGGGACTGTAGGCGCACGCCACCACATCCGGTTAATTTCTGTATTTTTAATAGAGACGGGATCTTACTGTGTTGGCCAGACTGGTCTTGAACTCCTGACCTCAAGTGATCCGCCCACCTCAGCCTCCAAGTGCTGGGATGACAGCCGTAAGCCACCATCGCTAGCTTGAAGTGAGCACTTCTAAGGCCACTCGGCATGACTCCAACCTTCCATCTTTGCATAGTACTTGACATGTGCCTAGAAGACCCCTAACCCTCAAGCCCTTGCCCCTTTCCTGCGGGTTGCTGGTGATTGGAGAGAGTGAGGCTGGGTTGAGAAGCAGAGGTGAAGTGAGGGCTCTTTGGTGGATAGGAAACTTAGGTTCAAGTTTAGGGAGGGCCTCAAAAAGGGGCTGGAATGAGTGGATGGACAGTTTTCATCAGTTCTGGGATACTCTCAGCCATTGCTTCTTTTGTCGATTATCACCTCTGCCCCCATTCTCTTCTCTTATGACTCCAGTTGAATGTATATTAATCCATCTTACTCTCTTCTCTATATCTTTTTTGATCATTCATGCTTTAATCTGAATTTATTCTCATCCTTTGGCTTACTAACTCTCTCTGGAGTCACATCTAAGGTTTTTTTGTTTGTTGGTTGGTTTTGAGACAGAGTCTCACTCTGTTGCCCAGGCTGGAGTGCAGTGGCATGATCTTGGCTCACTGCAAGCTCTGCCTCCCGGGTTCATGCCACTCTCCTGCCTCAGCCTCCCGAGTAGCTGGGACTACAGGCACCTGCCACCACGCCTGGCTAATTTTTTTATATTTTCAGTAGAGACGGGGTTTCACTGTGTTAGCCAGGATGGTCTCGATCTCCTGACTTCGTGATCCGCCCGCCTTGGCCTCCCAAAGTGCTGGGATTACAGGTGTGAGTCACTGCGCCTGGCCTCATCTAAGGTACTCTTAAACCCATATATTGAGGCTGGATATGGTGGCTCACACCTGCAATCCCAGTACTTTGGGAGGCTGAGGTGGGAGGATAGCTTGATGGCAGGTGTTCAAGACCAGCCTGGGCAACTAAGCCAGACCCTGTCTGTGCAAAAAATATAAAAATAGCCGGCAGTGGTGGCATATACCTATAGTCCCAGCTACTTGGGAGGCTGAGAGTTTGAAACTGTAGTGAGCTACTGTACTGTCCTCTATCCTGGAGACAGAGCAAGACCCCATCATCTAAAAAAAATCAACAAACCCCCCGTATATTGTGTTCCTAATTTCAGTTCTCATGTTTGTGAGTTCTGTAGTTTCTAGTGGATTCTTTTTCAAATTAGCAGTGTCTTGTTTTTATGGGTCTCAGCTGCCTCTGACGTTTCTTTAAGTTCAGCATTGATGTCCATGAACATAGTTGCTTTTGACAGTCTGTCCTATGATTGCACTAATCTGGAGTGCCCATGTGCCTGTATTTGTTATTTCTGCTAATTTTGTCTCAGTTATCCTGCCTCATTGTGCCTTATTTTCTATTGTTAGTTAGGCATCTTATTGGAAAAATTAGTTTAACTTTGAGAATTTTGGGCCCAGGCCGATGTTTTTCACCACAGAGGATTTTCTTTTCCTTCTGCCAGGGCACCAAAGGGCTGACTGTGGGACAAAGACATGAAGCTTGTCTGGGTCATTCTGATGGTCCCCAGGGCTCCGCATCCCTCCCAGGGTAGAAGTCATGTCATTAGGGTCATTCTGTCCACTCCCCCACCCCAGAAACAGTCCAGCTTCATCTGTTTGAGCTCAAATCCTCCCCGTTTTTCTCATTAGGTCTCTGCCTTGGTTGTTGAGGTGTAATTTAGATAGTAAAATTTATCCTTTTTAGTGTACGGTTCGGAAGTCTTGACAGATGTGTACATCACATAGCCATCACCGTCGTCATATAAAGGGCAGCTGTCTACCCTGTACCGCTGCCGAGGCTTCCTCCGTAACCCACTCCTCCCCATCTTGGGTGTTTGAAGCAGCTGTTGTCATTCTCTCTGCCCATCTGACCATCTTTTGGCAGGAGGGTTGTCTAAATTCCCTAGTGTACCATTACAGGGAGCAGCCACTGTTGAGATTTGGGGGTTGACAGGGATCCCCTGGCTGGGCTGGGGTGCCATCGCCTGAGTGGTACGTTTCTTTTCTGTGTCCCAGCCTGCTTTCTGGGTGCAGCCGACACTCCATGGGCTTCCCCCACCCCTGAGGTCCTAGAGTGAGGTCTGGGGGCAGTGTGGCCTGCCTTGGCCCTGGCCCTAAAACAGAGCTGGGGACCCTGGGCCTCTCAGGCTCGGCCTCTGCAACCTCAGCTCTCTCCACCTCCCCCACGCTGTATGCAGTGCACCTCACCTGTTACGGCCTCCGTCCTGTCTGTGACAGGACTGTGGCAGCTCAGAGATGGCAGTGAGTCCCACAAGGGTCACTGCAGGGCTTTTCACCTGCTCTGCTTAGTGAACGAACTGCTGTTTCCCCCAGCCCCGCACTTCAGAAGGTGCACAGGGGAGCCCCTCGGGGAAAAAAACTGGGGGGAAAGGACGTGCACCCGGGAAGGTTCAAAAGCAGGTGGAACTCAGAGGGTATGCCGGGTTGCATTTGTACGGTCAGCTCAGCCTGGTTTTTAATTTTTCTTTGTTGTTTTTTAGAGATGGGGTCTTGCTTTGTCGCCCAGGCTCAAACGCAGTGGTGCAATCATAGCTCCCTGCAGCCTTGAACTCCTGGGCTTACGCGATCCTCCCGCCTCAGCCTCCCGAGTAGCTGGGACCACAGGCACGTGCCACCACACCTGGCTATTTGTATTGTTGTAGAGATGGGGTCCTGCCATCTTGCCCAGAGAGTAGCATGCTTTGGATCACTGTATTGGGTTCCTGGGACTGCTGTAACAAAGTACCACAAACTGGGGTGGCTTAGGGACATTTCTTGTCTCACATTGCTGGAGACCGCAGTTCTGAAACCAAAGTTTTGGCAGAGCCATGTGGCCTCGGAAGGCTCTGTGGAGGGTCCTCCCTGGCTGCCTCCAGATTCTGGAGGCTGCTGGCAATGCTCGGCCCTCCGTGGCTTGCAGCTGTACAACTCCAATCTCGGCCTTTGACTTCATGTGAGTTTTACACCATGTGCCTCTGAGTCTCTTCTAAGACTCCAGTCATTGGGTCTCCTTAATGACCTCATCTTAACTAGATTATATCTGCACAGATCCTGTTTCCAAACAATGATAGGTCCTGGGGGTTAGGACTTCCACCCATCTTTTGGGGGGACATAACTTGGTTGACAACAATCATCACTGTCATCATCACCTTGTTGGCATTGTCAATCAATCATCATCACCTTGTTAGCAAAAGTTCCTTGGCCTCTCCTCCAAGACCCGTCACTCATTTCCCAAGGTCATACCCTAGACCCGCATTGTCCGAGATAGTAGCCACTGGCCCCCTGTGGCTCTGAACACAAAAAGTGTAGCTGGTCTGAAATGAGATGTGCAGTAAATGGAAAATACATATCGGAATTGAAAAGTTAATACGAAAGGCAATGTAAAAAATTCATAATTTAAACCGAAAACTCATAATTTAAACCTTTTTGGGTGGGGCGCAGTGGCTCATGCCTGTCATCCCAGCTGCTCAGGAGTCTGAGGCAGGAAGATCGCTTGAGCCCAGGAGGTCAAGACTGCAGTGTGAGTTGTGATTGTGTCACTGCGCTCCAGCCTGGGTGACAGAGTGGGATGTTGTCTCAGAAACACAGGGCCGGGTGCGGTGGCTCACACCTGTAATCCCAGCACTTTGGGAAGTGAGGCAGATGGATCACGAAGTCAGGAATTTGAGACCAGCCTGACCAACATGACAAACCCCATCTCTACTAAAAATACAAAAATTAGCAGGGTGTGGTGGCGCGCACCTGTAATCCCCCCTACTCAGGAGGCTGAGGCAGGAGAATCGCTTGAACTCAGGAGGCGGAGGTTGCAGTGAGCTGAGATTGCGCCATTGCACTGCAGCCTGGGCAACAGAGCGAGACTCCGTCTCAAAACACACACACACCCCTCCTTGGCAATCTGTTCCTTTTAATGGTAGAACTCCTTGGAAAACACTTTTCTCCCCCGCATGCCTCTATGCCCCAAACCCTCCTCTCTGCAGTAACTCTGAGACCCTCTCCGGGTTTCCTGGGCCTGCAGTGGCTGCTCTGCCTCCTTTCTTCCCTCCTTGGGCTCCTGGTTTCCCGGCTTTGACGTCATCGTGCCCAGGTTCAGCCGCTGGGCCTCTCCTGTATCTGTCCACACTCACGCTCCTGGGAACCATGCTAACAAGTTATACAACTTGCTAGCTTGGATGACCCACTGTGGTCTTACAGCTCTGCAGGTCAGGAGCCTCTCTGGGCTAAAGTCAAGGGTCGGCTGGGCTGGTTCCTTCCGGAGGTTCCGGGGAGAATCCATTTCTAGCCCTTTCCAGCTTTTAGAGGCACTCGCATCCTTGGCTCACAGCCCTTCCTCCGAGCCAGCCCTGCAGCACCCTCAGGCCCTGTGTTCTCACTCAGACCCCCTGCTGCCTCTAACGAAGGGGTTTTTTTTTTTTTCAATTTTGAGATGGAGTCTCGCTCTGTTGCCCAGGCTGGAGCGCAGTGGTGCGATCTCAGCTCATTGCCACCTCTACCTCCTGGGTTCAAGTGATTCTCCTGTCTCAGTCTCCTGAGTTGTTGCGATTACAGGCATGCACCACCATGCCCAGCTCATTTTATATTTTTAGTAGGGATGGGGTTTTGTCATGTTGGCCAGGCTGGTCTCAAACTCCTGACCTCAGGTGATCCACCCACCTTGGCCTCCGGAAGCGCTGGGGTCACAGGTGTGAGCCAATACGCCCGGCCTTAGCGAGGGTTCTTGTGATGGCATCAGGCTCACCTGGCTGATGCAGAATACCGCCCCCCCCATTCATGATCTTTAATCATCTGCAGTCCCTTTTGCTGTGGGGACTCCCGGGTCCCAGGGCTGGGATGTGGACATCTCTGGGGCTGTCGCTCAGCTGCTGGGGCAGCTTCTCCTTCCCGGGGTTGCAAGCGCCAGTCTTGTCGGCCGGGCTGTCTCTCCAGCACCCTCACTGGGCTGTCCATGGCCTCTCAGACTTACCCTGTCCTGATCTCCAATGGCCCTGGCCCTCACTCCCCATCATGCAGTACCGTGTGCCTTCAGGTCAGACCAAACGCAGGTGGCCCACACCTGACTTGGGAAGGGGCCCAGGCAGAGGAAGAGGATGACAGGGTGTGCCAGCCTGAGCTCGGCAGATAGGGGTCCCTGGCTGCCTCCTGACCCCATCCCCTGGCCCTCTCCCCGCAGACGGCATCCTGTCCTTCTTGAAGAACAACAAGCCAGGGGACGCACTGTGTGTGCTGGGCCTCACGCTGTCCGACCTGTACCCCCACGAGGCCTGGAGCTTCACCTTCAGCAAGTTCCTTCCAGGGCACGGTGAGCTGGGGCCCTGGCAGCTCTGCCTGGGGGGCAGCCTAGCATGGGGCCGTGGCCCCCGGGGCTGCAGGGCACCCTCGTGGTGGAAGTGAACACCCACACATGGGAATAGGCGGCCCCTTCCAGCTCCTCCTGAGGGGTGGCGTAGGGGCTGTTCCTCAGCCGTGGCCTCTGCCCCAGGGCCCATCTTCATGTGGGCAGGACAGGGCCTCCCAGGACCTAAGTATTGTTAGGCCATGGCCGGCTTACACGAGAGCATGAGGTGGGTTTGATGGTGGACCCCCTAGAGCCAAGGCTGACCCCTGAGCGTGCCCTTCTCACCATCTCTCTCCAGAAGTGGGCGTCTGCAGCTTCGCCCGGTTCTCGGGGGAATTCCCGAAGTCGGGGCCCAGCGCCCCTGATCCAGCCTTGGTGGAGGCAGCAGCAGATGGCCCTGAGGCCCCCCTGCAGGACAGAGGCTGGGCCCTGTGCTTCAGTGCCCTGGGGATGGTTCAGTGCTGCAAGGTGGGTGGGGGCTCTGGGACTGGGAAGAGGGGACGGGAGGGTGCTGGCTGAGCCTGCGCTGCATCAGTCCGTTACACCGCCCCATCCTCACTGTGAAGCGGGTGGACCCCTAACTTCACGGAATGAGGAAACCAAGGCCACACAGCTATGTAGAAGCAGGGTAGGGATTAGAGCCCCAAGCCCCAATCCTGTGTGGCCTCCCCAGGGCAGCGCATCCTGACTCACCTTTCCCCTGGGGCCCTGAATGCAGCCCTGCCAGAGATGCGGGCTGACGCCTGTGCCGCCTGGGGCAGGGGGAGGGCGCCCGGACCACTTCCAGGCCATCCAGCCTCACCCAGGTCCTCATTTTGGCCCTGCTGGGGCTGCCTGGGGATCTGCCAGATACGGGGGCAAGGCGGTGAGGCAAGGTGCTTGGTGGCCTTCCCCCCAGGTCACGTGCCACGAGCTCTGCCACCTTCTGGGCCTGGGGAACTGTCGCTGGCTCCGCTGCCTCATGCAGGGTGCGCTCAGCCTGGATGAGGCCCTGCGGCGGCCCCTGGACCTCTGTCCCATCTGTCTGCGAAAGCTGCAGCACATCCTGGGCTTCAGGCTCATCGAGAGGTACCAGGTGAGTTGCCGAGTTGCGCTGCCCGAGTTGCGCTGCCCGGCTGCTGGGACCTGTGCTCTGGAGGCCCCGCGAGCGCCACCTGGAGACCACGCAGGGCACGAGGACTGCACACATGCTTTGTCAAACTGCCGGGTTCCAGGCAGTGCAGAGCCCCGGGACCTGCATTGGGGTTGAGCTCCACCCGGATCTCACCGGCGGTAGGTCGAGTCCTGCCAGTGCCCGCATGTGGCGGCTGCAGCCAGGAGGTTGCAGCGGCATGGGGCCTTCCTGGTGCAGCCGGTGGGTGGCACGGTCTTCCCAGGGTAACTTGCTCTTTTCTTTCCCGCCACCAACACTTGGGTCACTGCTGCTCAGAGGAGGCACAGGCTCCTTGGGAGGAGGTGGGAGCTGACAGAACAAGGCTGTGTTGGAGGCGGCCTCCATTCCTAACTCCCTCTGCTGTCACCTGGGGTGGGGCTGCTGAGCAAATGGCTTGTCTGTATTCATGGGGGAAGATTTGTTTGCAGGCTTGGAAGTTGTACTCTGAGTTCTGAGTGCAAAGGCAGGTGGTGGTAATTTTTCTTTAAACACACCTTTGGATGAAAACCAGTTATCAGGTGCGCACTGTGCACAAGCACAAGAGCAGTCAATGAAACTGCGCTGGGAAGCCCCTGCATCCTCCTCCTTTTGGTGCTGGGTCCAGGCCGTGGAGGCAGGTGGGAGTGTCCGGTGCTGGATCCAGGCCGTGGAGGCAGGTGGGAGTGTAGTTCCCAGACTCAGCTTGTCAGAACCCCCTGCAGGGCCCGGCCGTGCCCGCCTTCCTTCTGGGGCAGAGTGAGGAGCGGTACGCGCAGGGCTCCTGGGTGACACTGCTGAACTAGAGGCTGGGGCATTTCCAGCTCACAGTGCTGGAATCTCTCTGTAGGGATCTTCTTCAAAGACTCTGGCAGTAAAGGGAAGGTGAAGGGGGCACAGAGGAAGCAGCCTTCCCAAGTGGAAGGCTGAGAGGAGCCTATGACTTGGGGGGAGCCCAGGCGCAGCCACGGCTGAGGGTAGGAGCATCTCCTGAGGGTGCAGGCGGCATGATGGCCAGTTGGCACCTGATGACGCCTTGTAAAGGTTGCTGCTGCCAGCTGTGCCCTATCGAGGGGCAGCTCTTAGTACCCTGGTGAAGCTGTGTAACAGGCAGAAGGGCAGCTTGGTCTGCAGAAAGGGTTGAGAGCTCTCATTTGATGCCTTCACTTGGGGTCTTGTGCAACCATCTGACATGAACTTTTATAACGTGTGGCTCTCCCTACACGTGCTGACCTGGCATAGCCTGGATTGGAGCTGGAGGGTGTAGCTCCTCCTTCTGCTCAGAGCTCTCCCTTCCACGAGCACCATCGCCCGTGGCTGTGGAGGGAAAAGCGCCAAGGCAAAGGCACTCCAGGGTGGCCTGGCCCTCCTTGCTGTTGTAGGGAGGGGAGTGGTGCGGATGTGAGGTCACCTGCTGTCCCAGGGCTCTGGCTGGTGCTGGAGAGCCGACCAAGGGCCTGGCCAGAAAAGGTCACTGCTGTCCATTGAATGCAATCAGCGGAATGTTCTCAAAGAAAACCGGACGTGTGGTCTCTGCCACTTCCTGTGGTGTAAACAGTCCCACTATGGCTGATGTCAGGTCCCAATGGGATATCAGTGAGTGCTGAGTTGGGAAGAGGTGTGCAGTGGGGGCTTGTTAAACTGCATGTCCCCTGTACAGATGCAGGAGAGGAGAATAACCTTGAGAGCAGAGGTAAGAGTGAGATGTAGAAAACATTTAGGAAGTGAGTTTCAAGTATTCCTTTTGCTTTTTTTTTCTATTTTTTCCCCTTGTCATCTCACTATGTTGCCCAGGCTGGTCTTGAACTCCTGGGTTCAAGTGATCCTCCTGCCTCTGCCTCCCTGTGCTGGGATTACAAACGTGAGTCACCATGCCCGGACCTTTGCTTTAAAATTTAAAATTTTATTTAATTATGTATACTTTCTGGGTGCGCGCTGTGGCTCACGCCTGTAATCCCAGCACTTTGGGAGGCCGAGGTGGGTGGGTCACCTGAGGTCAGGAGTTTGAGACTGGCCTGGCCAACTATAAAAAATAGCCGGGTGTGGTGGTGGGAACCTGTAATCCCCATTACTCAGGAGGCTGAGGCAGGAGAATTGCTTGAACCGGGGAGGTGGAGGTTGCAGTAAGCCGAGGTAACAGCACTACACTCCAGCCTGGGTGACAGAGACACTATCTCAAAAAAAACAAAACAAACTGTAAGTGCTCTATTCTTTAACTGTGGATAACAAGTAGCTTATGAAGTTCCTGAATGGTGGGCTCTTGGGGGTGGGTACCTCCGACTCCGGCACAGCCTGGACGTGAGTCCTCAAAGGCTGCTGGTCAGAAGAGCCCTCACGCCACCAGCCTGACTCCTGCCCCTGGGTAACTGAGGACGGTGGGGTCCCCTTAGGTAAGGAGCTGGGTCTCCTGGCAGTTCCCTGGCTAGACGAGGGCTGGCAGGGAGCAAACTCAGCCTGTGTTTCTCCCTCTTAGAGACTCTACACCTGGACTCAGGCGGTGGCGGGGACATGGCCCAGCCAGGAGGCGGGGGAGCCGTCGGTGTGGGAGGACACCCCGCCCGCCAGCGCTGACTCGGGCATGTGCTGCGAGAGTGACTCGGAGCCCGGCACCAGCGTGTCCGAGCCCCTCACCCCTGAAGCCTGCAGTCACGCCTTCTCCTCGGGGCCAGAGGTGGAGCCAGAGGAAGGGCTGAGCTCCCTGGTGGCCTCAGAGGCTCCGCCGGCACTTGGGGGCCCTGCGGAGGCTATCAAGGAGCATGAACGGTGGCTGGCCATGTGCATCCAGGCCCTGCAGCGGGAAGTGGCGGAGGAGGAGCTGGCACAGGTGGACAGAGCCGTGGATGCCCTCGACCGCTGGGAGATGTTCACGGGCCAGCTCCCGGCCATCAGGCAGGACCCACCCAGCAGCAATGACAGTGTGGGGCTGCGCAAGGTCCTGGGGGACAAGTTCTTCTCCCTGAGGAGGAAGCTGAGTGCCCGAAAACTCTCCAGAGCAGAGTCAGCCCCCTGCCCCTGGGATGGGGAAGAGAGTTAGCACAGCAGGGGCTGCCCTGCATCTTCTTCCCTAGGATGCTGGCTGGCCAGCGCTGTCCAGTAGCTGAGGCCACTACTGACCTGCCAGGGATTAAGAGGAAGGGCCTGGCTGGGTGGTGGCTCAGGCCTGTCATCCCATCCCTTTGGGAGGCCAAGGCGGGGGGATCGCCTGAGGCCAGGAGTTTGAGACCAGATTGGGTAACATGGTGAGGCTCTGCCTCTACAAAAGAAAAATTTAAAAATGAGCCGGATGCAGTGGTTCATGCCTGTGGTCCCAGATATTCAGGAGGCTGAGGTGGGAGGATTGCTTGAGCCTAGGAGGTCGAGGCTGCAGTAAGATGTGATCATGCCACTGTACTGCAGTCTGGGCACCACAGCAAGACTGTCTCAGGAATAAAAAGGAAAGGTTCTTTGGAAAAGCCACGGACCACTTGTCTTCAGGCGCCTCCTTCAACTCCCGTGTCCCAGCCAGCTGCTCCCAGGGGCCTGCATACATGGAGAGGTCTCTCTGCTCCTGGACACTTCTCATGGAGTACAACCCGGACTGTGCTGGGGTTGGGACAGAGCCCCCTCGCCCACAGAGGCAGAAGGAAGCAGCGTGCGTCCTGTCTCCTTCCAGGCTGCAGGCCTGCCCTTTAGTTATTTATAGCCAGAGCTGGAGAGGCCAGCTCAGATGAGGAGTGACCCTGGGGGCACACAGGTTCCACGCTGCAACCCAGCTTCCAAGGCTGAGTCTCCTCCACAAAGGGGAAGCGACGGGGTTTTGCCTCTATCTCAAGCGTCAACCCCATGCACACACAAAGTGGCCAGTTCTGTGGCGCTAGTAGCATTCTGATCCTAACGGGCTTCACTGGGGCTCTCCATGCAAGTTCTGGGGTTTGCCATCTCTTCTGACAGAGGCTGCAGGAGTTGAGGGTGTCTGACATGCACTGAGGGCAGAGGCCCCCTTATTCCTGAGGCAGCTGCTGCTCACTGTGGGGAAAATAAACTGCGGTGATGTTTTTGGGATAGTTTCTTGGCAAAGGCGGCTGCACTGTCAGTACCACCAAGTAGGTGGAGGTGGTGATCAGATGATCTTTTTTTTTTTGGTCTAGTTCGATCAGTTGCTGAGAGAGGGGTGTTATTGCCACGGCTGGGCATTTTATCTGTCTCCCTTCAATTTTGCCGAATTTTGCTTCCTGCATTTTGAAGCTCCTTTATGTCCATGCATATTTGATTGTTGTGTCTTCCTGATGAATTGACCCTTTTATTGTCAAACGTCCCCCTCAGCCTGCAGTGGAGAGTCCCAGGGACAGAGACTTCCGGTTCTGACAGCGGAATCCCTTCGGAGCGACGAGGGCGGGGTCACCACTCACGCTCTCTCATCTGGAAAGAGGCAAGAACAGGGCAGCTTGGACCTTTTGTGGGTGGGTGGCTCATACAGTTATGGAGGGCTTCTAAGAAAAACAATCCAAAATATAAAACTAAAACTGGAAGGGCTATGCAGGGGAGGGGACTGAGGCTTCCTTGTGAATCTGACATTGGTAGAGGCCGACTGCAGGCTCCCGGTCCTGGCCCCAGAAAATGCAAAACGACTAGTACGTGTTGACTTCAGAGAAGCAAAGATGCAGCCCAAAAGCAGCATTAGGATCTTCATCCGTCCCGTTCTCTTTTGCGTAGCTTCAAAGAGGTATGACACTGACCTGGGAGGGAAGATGAAGAGCCAGGCCTTTCAGAAAGTGGCCAATGGAAGGTGCCGGCCGAGCGCACTGCAGTAACAGAAGGCGAAAGCTGGAGCCTGGTGGCTGTTGCTGCAAACAAACCACCCAAGACTTAGTGGCTTAAATCACAACAGTCTAGCTCATGAATCTGTAACTTGGGCAGAGCTTGGTGGAGACGGTTTGCCTCTGTGGTTCAACTGGAGGGTTTGTTCACGTGGCTGCCAAGAGGAAGCTGGCTGGGAATGTCAGGCCTTGGTTCCTGCCCACGTGAGGCTCTCCATGGAGGAGAGGCATCTTCTTAGGAAGGCAGCTGCCATATTGTGAGGAAGCCGGACAAGCAGGGCAGACAGCCAGAGCCAGACAGCAGGCTCCTGATCCCAGTCTCAGAAAATGCAAAGGGACAAGTAGGTGTTGACTTCAGAGAAGCAAAGATGCAGCTCAGAAGTAGCATTAGGACCTTCATCCATACCCCTCTCTTTTGCATAGCTTCTAAGGGGCATGACAGTGACCTGGGAGGTAACTGTGACAGAACGAAGAGGGGAGACGAAGAGCCAGGCCTTTCAGAAAGTGACCTGGGGTTCCTCACAATATGGCAGTTGCCCTCCTAAGGTGGACATTCTGAGGGACGGATGGAAGCTCTGTGGTGTTTCATAACTCGGCCTCACGTCACAGAGTGTCACCTTTCCTGCACTCTACTGAGGCAGTGACAAGGAACCCACCCCAGGTTCACAGGGAGAGGCTGTGGCAGGGAATGTGAGGCAACAGAATATCGCTGTGGCCATTCATGAACAGTCAGCCCCACTCGGCGTTCGCTGTGGGGATTTGGCTGGTGCACCTGCTAGACGACCTGACCTGTTTTCCGATTTCATCTTCTGCAAAAGGTTAACCGCTGGAGTGATGTGAGATTAAACAGAGGTGATAAAAATAGAACAGCCTGGCTCAGGCTGAGGGTGGGAGTGCGTTGGGGTTATGGCCAAAGCCTCCGCACTGTCTCTCTGTACCCATGTCCTTTGACCCTCAACTGTGATGCATGTCCCAAAAAAGCATTTTGAAGGCAGGAGCAAACCACTAAAAAAACCCCTTTTATCCACAGCCTTTACCTAGTTGCAGATGTGAGTGACATTTTTTAAGACAGCTGTTGGGAGGATGGTTTTGAAATGCAACTTTGAGGAAGAGAAATCAGTTTCCCTCCTCTCCCCTGTGCTAGCCCCAGGTTCTGTCTGTGCTGTGGTGAAGGGTAACTTGGGACAGTCAGCAGGAAAGATGCTAAGGCAGCAGAGAGATAATGAGGGCTGCCTTCTCGAGGAAGGTCACAGCTCACGAATCTTTCTAAACTCCTTAAGCACTGCAAAAGTTGAACTGAGATTAAATTTAGAGATGATGGTTTCCAAGAAACACAGGGCCATGGTTCTTTCAGTTTTAAAAAATGTGCAGAGTCCACTTAATTGCTTTCTCGTCTCCTTATCTGTCAGAAGCCCCTGAATTCACAAGGATGGGTCTTCCAGCTTGACGATGACCTCTCTTCTGAGAGCCTCACCCATCTTGGCAGGTCAAGTCAGCGGGGCCTCATGGAGCTAAAAATATTTTCAGGTCACGACAGACGTTATCTGTATTGCTGTGTGTGTGCGATGAGGCTGGGGAAGCTAACACTTGCCTTCTGAAGTAGCTAGAATACACACTCTCACGTCACAGCCATGCTTTGATGAAGGGGTGAGGAGCAGTGTCCCCTCTTGGAGGCAAATCTCTCTTCAGGCAGCCCAGCAGTCCTTTCCGAAATCTCATGTTCTGTCTCTTCCTCCCCAAAGCCCAAACTCATTGTCAGACGGAAGAGAGGGGAGAAGCAGCATCCCGACTCCAGTCCATGGTGTGAACCCTGAGGGCACAGGACAGTGAGTGGAGCTCTGCCCCCACCCCTATTTCCAGAGCATGGGTGAGGGGGGAGGGATGCCGACCTGTTCATATTGTCCCATGGGACATCTGCTTCAGACCTTTCCCTGATGAAATCTCCAAAAGCCTTAAACATAAAATGGCTTAGTCAAGCACGAGTGATAAAGCTGGGTGTCCAAATTTAGATCCTACCAAGTTCAAAGGGGAGGCTAGAACATTCCAGGGACACACCCACACACAGAGAGGGTCTCCATATGGTGCCAAAGGAGCTGTTCTGCAGACCCAATGGGCAGGGTCAGCTAGGTCTTGGAAGGGAGGGACCGGCTGCCCTGCCCAAGTCCACCTGGACAGGCAAACCTTCCCTGGTGGCTCAACTCCACCTCTGAAGGGGTATCTCCTACGTAATGGAATTTTTCTCATCATCATCCTCGAGTCTTGAAATGACCTGTAAGGCAGATGGCTGCGTCCCCACTGCATGGCTGTGGCCACCAAGATGGGACCGGGAAGGGCTGGAGCCTCAGAAGCAGAAGAGTTAATGTTCAGATGCGGTCTATGCTTGCTTAAACCCTCAGTTCTCCTGCTGTTGTGCGGCTTTCTTAGGAAAGCAACCTTGGAGGTCTGAGCAGGAAGAGTAAGAAGGTGCACGGACTTGGGAGGCCTGCACCCTGATTCCTGAGCAGCCCCCACACCAGCACCCATGCCCCTCGGTTCTGATTACCAGGAGGCTTTCTGGCCCTGGCAGCTCCTTCCCACTCTGGGGAGCGGCCTGGGTGGGTGGCCGGCACTCTTAGGTGAGGTGCCAATGAAAACACCCCCGGGGTTGCTGGGGCTTCACTGATTTGTTTATTAAAGGAGGGTGAGGCCCGGACAGGAATATTTTTATCCCCGTGAAGACAGAATCAAGGCTTCGCGATGGGGCTCTCAGACCTGACCTGGGCCTGCCTGTGTGTGCTGGGAGCAAATGAGGGCCCGTCCTCTAGGCCGGCTTTGCAGCTCCAGAAAGGGCGACAGACTCGCGGGGACCTGGCTGCCGTCCTGGGAGAAGCCCCAGGGAGCGGCTCTCTGGAGCTCACCCCGCACGCAGGCTGCACCAGAGCTGAAATCTAGCCGTGATCCCTGTGGGGACAACGGCGCACAGAGGTGCCCAGTTTCAAGGAAACCCAAGGAAACAGCAAATTGATGGTTCTTGGAACACCAGGCCGTCGAAGATAAACACCGCAGAGTAATCTAGGAAACGCTTCCTGCTTGACTGTGAAGAGCCGCGGCCTGCGAACGCTGTTCAAAACAGATGCAAATCACCGGTGGAGAAGGCCGCCGGAGCCTTCCCTTTTCTGACATCGTACAGCGGCACCTTGATGAATGAGAACCCGGAAGAACGGAGGTTTATTTTTGAACTCGGCTTCTTGGGGAGGAAGGCAAATGAAAACAGGCTGATGGCGGGGGTTTATTTTAAAAAGCAATTTCCAAGAAGCATCCTGAGGTCACCGCGCGTTCAGTCTAACTCTCTCCCCGCTGCAGTGTTCCCGCGACGATGATGAGGCAATCCAAATTTTCACTGGAGCCGAGCAAACATGGCGGCCCCCACCTTCCCCGGCTGCGCAGGAACAGCCCTCCCGGAGTGTCCTCGGCAGCCAGGCCCGACTAACCTCCCGCCCTCTTTCGGAGGCGCCCAAGCTCTCGCGAGATTAACCAGAGACAACACCCGCCAGATTCCACCTCGGAGGCTCCCCAGGCTTTGAACGCACTTCCGTTACATGGAAACTGAGCCAGTCCCGGAGTAACCTGGCTCCAACGTGGTGCTCCTCTGCTGCCGAGAGCTCTGGCTCTGCTGACTATGGGCCCAGTGTGCATCTTCTCTCTCAGGCAGGGTGCTCTGCCCGCCACAGTGTGCCTGGTTTTCTGGATCCAGTATGACTGAAACGTCATTTTTCAGCAAAGGCCAATACGTGTGTGTCCCCGGCTAGTCTAAGACCATCTTCGGTTCAAGGGCCCTCACCAAGCTTTGTGAGTCTATTTCACGGGCCTCCTTTGGTGGTCTGTGACCGGCGGGAATGAATGGGGACGCGTTTTTCAGCCCTGACTCTTGCACGCTGGTGGCACCTGCGGGCGCCCACTCGCCTGGCACGTGGACAAAGGTGATGAGCGCGGCTGACGGCTCCTGGGGGCAGCGTGGGAACCAGTCTGAAGCCGACATCCCGCCCCCTGCGGTCAGACTTTCAGCAGCCGAAGGCAGTGAATTTTTCACTGTTTCTTCCAACGCTTTCTCACGTAGGAGCGCCACTGCCCCTTCTAACAGGATGGGGCTTGTGCAGCCGGGCTTGGTCTTGTGGTCAGGGAGAAGCGGGCAGGCCAGGGCCGAGCTGCGTCCGGTGCTCAGCGACTTCTTCTCCCTGTGCTCTGCCCACCTTGGGGAGGCCCCTGGGAACAGGCGAGTCACAGAAACCACAGGAAATGGACCGGGCTGGAAGAGGCAGAGAACACGCTTTTCTCAGGGTCGCTTAACACAGGCAGATGTACAGGAGAGCAGGAAGGAAAGAGGGAGGGAAGCTGCAAGAACAGGCGATTTTTTTTTTTTTTTTTAAATCTGAAGTGAGATCAAACTTCCACCACATTTGACCTGTGCCCCTCTGGGTGGGTGGTGGCCATCCTCTTGGGCGCCCCCTTGTGAGGGCTCGAGACCTTTACCGAATGGGCAGGGTGGGGGCAGCAGCTGTGCCGGCTGCCAACCCAACTCCAGGCGGCCTCCTGAGGCTTGCAGGGAGCCCCTGCCGGAAGAGGGGTGTCTCCTCTTCATTCCTGCCATCCTCTAGCCGCCTTCCCGCCTGCATCACATGGAGGCAGTTTTGCATGGGGCTCTTGATGGTACAACCTGATGTCTGTCACGGACCCCGAGCAGGAGCAACGCCTAAAGAGGGCAAAGGAGAGCGCGCCCAGCAGAGCTCCCTCCTCTGCCCCAACAACAGAGCCCAGGGCATCCCTTGGCCCGAGGTACAAGTCCCACAATAGCCTCTCCCGATGGGAACGACTTAGCCCTAATTACATGAGCTTTAATCACCGCTCGATCGTATGACACGGTTATTTTTAAGAGTCCAGTCCACGTGGAAACACACCTGGAGCATTTTATACTGCAATGATTGATGAACGACTTTGATGTACAAAATAAATAGTGTTACTCAGGTTTTCTATAATGCTTACATTTTACATTTTCATTCTCAAAATTAATAAATGCTATCAACTCTTAATTTTTTTTTTTTTTTTTTTGAGATGGAGTTTTGCTCTTGTTGCTCAGCTGGAGTGCAATGGTGCCATCTTGGCACGCTGCAACCTCCACGTTCCGGTTTCAAGCGATTCTCCTGCCTCAGCCTCCCGAGTAGCTGGGATTACAGGAGCCAGCCACACGACGCCCGGCTAATTTTTGTATTTTTAGTAGAGACAAGGTTTTACCATCTTGGCCAGGCTGGTCTCGAACTCCTGATCCACCCACCTTGGCCTCCCAAAGTGCTGGGATTACACGGATAACAACGTGTCACCAACCCGGCCTCACTCCCCAATTTCTTAAAAAGGGCCCTTAAGGAAGAAGCAGACTAGATATCTACGAACAGAATGCTGTAACTAATATGGAATATAGATACAACAATAACTATAGCATTGAGATGACACCACGGAACCTAACACACAAGGCAACACACTGCTGCAGAAGACATTTCCCTGCAGGCGGACGAGACCTCCACACACACACGGCTCCTCTGCTGAACATGACGGTACAATTTAACACACACGGACGCCCATCCACAAACACTATAGTCACATGCTGGAAGGCATTTAACAAGACACCATGTCAAACAGAGAACACAACGTTCACTTCCCGTATTCCCATGTCTCCCACCATTATTCTGGCACTAGACATCTTTACATATGCCGGCAATTGCGTGACACATCGGGCTATGACTATACCGTTTGTCTGTGGCACTGTTGGTAATCTCAGGATGCGTGCGTCAGGGTCAGGTATATTTTTTCTCAACAATAACTGTATTTCTCCTGTACTTGCTCCTGAATGTAGTTGTCTCTACATCTCATATACTGCAGATCAGTTTACTTACTGCACTCACCGCCAGGCCCTCTCTATCACATGTTCTTCTAGCATTCCTTCGGCTTCCACTGCATACCTCCGCCTTCATGCGGCCTTCAATGATCCTCTTCTCCTTCTGCCTCACGCTACCAACCGTACGGCGGGATTCTAACAGGCTGCACCAATGACCACCCATATGCACCTGTGATAATTTTCTGTACCATTTTATGTAGAGATGTGGCCCTTATACAGTATTGCCAGGCTGAGTCCTTGATTCCTTGAATCCGTGATAGCGGGGTGGCCATCAAACTCATCTCGGCGATGCTTGTTGTTTACTCCCAAAGGTGAGAGCTCGAAGGATGGTGATTTTAGGCGCGCTGCTCGAGTTTTGCGCGCTCTCCACCTTCTTTGATTGCGCCTTTCGAACGTGTCCTTTAAAGGAGACATAAACATATACATAAATACAATACTCTAATCTATTTCAGTAGGATTACAATTTGTTCCTTTGGCTCACCCTGATGTTGGTGCTCTCTACACTAGACATGTTGATACACAGTGAGTTATAAAATCCACTCAAACAGAATCTAACTTCTCACTGAATCCTAAATACAACAAACAGCGAGATTTAACGTTTTGTTGCAGCTGATTGTCGAAAAAGAGGAAGACTTGATCAATGGTATAATAGGGGCCTACGTGAACGCAAATACAAAATGGTAGAGGCAACTGACTCCCCCCATAAGGCTAGATGCAGTGCTGACACACATCTGCATTTAGACTTAGAGTATTTACTTAACAGTTATATACGTGTTTTTTTGTTTTTGATTATTTTTGACAGAACACATAGGGGCGCGGGCTGAATTATTCCATGAGTTTGAAGTTTCTGTGGTACTCACACCTATAATCTCCAGGGCTAGGCGGGGGCAATTTCCTGGGAATCCGAGGTGGTGTTGAATGCACGTATGAGCGCCTTCAGTCCCGGTTCTATATTGTATCCGACCTGTGCAAGAGAGTATAACCTTCTCGCTGGTGCCGTAAACCACATCTCTTACTCAATATATAGATTAGAAGCTCGCTACATTACAG